AGTTTTATGCGTCATTCAAGATGGCGGCCCCCATATAGTAAATATCGCATTTATTTTATTATATCAGATGTGCGCCAGCTGACTGTGAACTGAATGGACGACAAACGTAGAATTTCCGGCTGACGGTTACGCGACGGATATACCACCCCCGTAGTCCGACGGTTACGCGACGGTTATACTGCATAACCGCCATGTACCGTTGTGTAACCGGACCGAAAACACGCGATTTCATGCCGTGATTGTACCATTACATCTGCAAATATGAAAATACTAACAGGCCATGTACATATAATTTCCATTGTAAAATAACTATTGTATTGTGACCAGTGTACTCACCGAAGATCCCTCTTCGGTTAATCGCATACTTTTTTCTTTAGAAAATAGACATCACACAAAATACAGACCAAGCTTCACAAATACTCGGACATATCAGGTACATTAACAAAACATGAAAACAAAAATAGCTTGATTTCCACTAAGATAACAGGATAAAGTGTTCCAAGGACAGTAAATGGAAATAAGAAAAGTTAAGTATGGTGTCATACCAAAATTCAAAAGAAAAGCCAACAAAGACCAGTTCAAATATAACATGAAAATGAGCGACACCCTGTCGAACGGGAAACATAACAGAAAGTATTGATTTAGTAGAAAAATTACAAAAGTTGAAAAGGTCGGCACTTAATAATTCGGATTTTATTCTGTGTGCAATCAGAGATTCGATTGCCACAAAAGCAATTGAAGAGATGGAGAAGCCCGCGTTTGTTTGTAACCCACTATCGGTGGTCATTAACAGAGAAAGTTAGAAGCGCTTAATTTTAGACCTGAGAGGTGTTGACCTCTTTGTATTTAAGAATTTGCATCATATAAGACAAAGTGCGTAATATTTAATTTTCGTTATTGGTGCCCTAACACCGAGGCTATGTTCAACACTTATTATATTGTGCTTTACAAATACAGCACCAGCCCCCCCCCCCTTCAGTCCGCGAAAAAAATCAATTGACAAACCCAGCCCACAAGAGGTGCGCGGACGTAGCCTTCAGCAACGCCAATAGGTGTGCGCGCATTTCCCAAATTTCTGGTTTGAAACTGACACGCGAGATGACGAAAAGTAACACCTTTTTAAAAACTTTAATGAACTGTTTGTTTTTGGTTATTCACATTTTTATTTTCAAATTTAAAAGAATATCAGTAGTACGGTATTTTGCCTGCATGCTTTTTGTTGTTCGTTATTCTATGCAACAAATCTTTGGATCAGAATGATAACAAACATTTTACCTTGACAACCGAAGACTGCAAATGCTTTTTGCTTTCGTTTTTTATGGATTGCAAGATATGAAGTGGTACTACAGGTGGCTTTTTAAGAAGTTATCTCTAGATCCTGTGAGTCATTACCGTTGAGAATTTTTTTGTGAAATAACTGAACCATTCATTTGGTTTTATATTGATATCAGGAATATGTTATTTATCAATCTCGTAAGATTTTCCAAAATATTGATTTATAAAGATTTATATATGTACCGTATTCACTTGTTGTATGTTGTTAGCACA